AAATACTAGACTAATCTAAGCTAAGGAAATGAAAGGAAAACGAGTTCTTGCTATCTAGGGTTCTAACCTCACTCCTCTCTCCAAAAAATGAGTTATAACGCAGTCAAAAGAAACAGAGATGGGCTGCTCGACGCGTGGAGCGTAATTCTCGACGCGTGGAGAAATTACAGAAACATTCTGCCAGGATTCGACGCGTCGAGAGTAATTCTCGACGCGTCGAGCGCTGATCTGCAACAGAACTTCGACTTGCAGGCTAATTTTGACCCTTTTGTCTTCAGAATTAGGCTTCGGTGTCTTCATGAAAGTTGTAGATCTTCGAGTCTTCTTTCAAATGGTGCAAGAATCACTTAATTTGGATGTTTTTAGCTTGAGATATGGTCCAAAAACCATGACGTCAACGTGCAGGTCGGGAATTGCAATTGCATGGTCGCTTGCTTCTCTTTTGCTTTGGTTTGCCCACATGACCAAGACCATTGAAAGAACCACCCTAGACTCCTTTGGAAGTTTTGCATCCATCTCCATAGCTTCATAGTTGGCTCTCATTGACTCCAAATTCATCCAAAATACCTCAAAAGCACACAATTGCCTGCACTCTACACTATGCATCAAAAGATATAAACAAAGGAATTAAGACACTTCTTTGCATAAAATCAAAGTGTTTGTCACACAAAATATGTCTATACAAGGGGTAAAAATATTGACATAAATGCACTTATCAACTCCCCCACACTTAAACATTTGCTTGTCCTCAAGCAAAGTCAAGACAAATTACCATCCAAGCAATGAAATTGATCACACTCCCAACTTGAACAACTTATCAATCCACAAACCGACTTGCTACAACACAACTTCTTTCAAGAATCATTTTAGCATCCCACACAAGTTCCATTCTCAAGCCAATAACCAAGCACCAAAATTATTAAAGTGTGTGAGGATCAAGTGTGCACAATACTAAGTTGAGATTATGCAAAACTTGGCTTTGAATGAGATTCCATAGGCTTGCCCTTCATACTCCCACTAGTTCAACTCCAAGATTGCATGCTAAGATCAAATAGGTCTTTATTAGGCTTGTAATGGGGCTAAGGGTGAATGGTTAACAAAGAAGGGGTATGGAAATAAACAAAGGAGAGAACTTCACATTTATTCACAATTGAGGCTAGAAGAGATATGACATTTATAAACTAAGGAGCAATTTACAATGGAACATAAAGCAACACTCTAAAGTAGTGGGGGTTGAGTACAACTTTCAACACAAACTAGAATCAAGCTTCAAACTTTTATTCTTCTTCCTTTTCTTTTCATTTTTCTCATTTCATCTCTTTTTTCATGACTTTTTTTTTTGTGGAACACCTTGATAGAAAATAGGAGGAACTCCTTGTGGAAAGTTTTGAGGCATGTTGAACATAGGATTGGCAAAGTTGGGGTTCATTTGATGAAGAAGATTTTGCATACCAACCCCTTGGCCTTGTTGTTGTTGAGGTTGCCCATACCCTTGAGGAATGCCCCCTTGATTCATGTTAGGATAAAATGGGTATTGAGCTTGTGGAAACCCCATTCCTCCTCCAACATAAGGATTGACATTAGGATTTGCCATGAAGTTTTGTGCCGGTATTTGAACGGGAGCAATTGGCACTTGAGAGACATTAGCATGAGCTTCATTGAATTCCCCTTGTCTCGGGCTATGTTGGGTGCTTGTATCATTGGGAGAGATTTGACCGGGATTGCTAGTGTCACCCGTTTCCATGTTTATCTCCAATGATCCAAACTCCTTCAACCAACCGAGCAAGTCTCTTCTTTGTCTCCTTAGCTCCCTAGAGAGTTCTTGATTGAAAGGGTGAAGGTCTTGGCTTCCTTTAGACCTAGTTTGCATGCACCAAGAGGAGTACCTACAACCAAACTCAAGCAAAGACAACTTTGGAAGCACTTAGTCACAATTTAAAACAAACGAACAAAGAAAAATAAAAACTTGATCTCCTTAGAGTTCACTAACTCTAATGCTAGAAAGACAAAGCAATCACACAATACAACCATTTAGAGTTCACTAACTCTAAATGCACTTATCAGTCAATTTGATCGAAAGGACCAAAATTGATAAAAATAATAAAGTTAGACACCAAAATTGAAAAAATTTAAAGTTGTGCACCAAAAATGATAGAACCTCTAAAGTCGTGGGACCAAAAGTGAAATTAGTTCTTTCCGTATTTGATGATCTCTTATGTTTCAATTGTAAGTAAAAATATTTTGGCTGCAATTGAGTGTTTAACTGTTGAAGTGCAGTGATATAGCTTCAAAATAGTGTATGCTTTAATGTGAGCATCTATGTCTATGAATAGGATGACCACTGGAACATCTATGCACATAGGTCATTGATATACTTTATTTTTTATAATTTTTGTTTTAGGATAATGGTCATTGATAAATTTTGGATAGAACTTTTTGATAGATCATTGTCACAATATGAAAAAAGAGTTGAGGAATTAATACTATGAGTCTCGAAGAAGATGAAATTGTTCCATGAGTCTCGAAGAAGATGAAATTGATAGTGATAAAGATGTTTTTATTAATGACAATGATGAGATAAATTAAATCCAACAACTGAAGATTAAGAAGCTGGTGATGATAATGATGAATGATTATTTGATCAACTTTTATTTATAACTTTTGAATATTTTACTTTTCATATTTTGAATTTGACTGGTTAATTTTAATAAATCTTATTGAAATATATTGCTGACACAAAACATATACATCTTTATTTCCAAAAAAATTGATGTGGCAAATTAGTACTATAAGTGATAGTGAACTTATTTGTCACAAAAAGAAAGTTTAAAAAAATGAGTGATTACAAAATGTATTTTCAGAATTACATTCAATTTAAGAGTCACTAACTAATTGCATTTTAATTAACCACAATATTTAATACCTAGTTCACACCAAATTACTTTGGCACCAGCTTGAATGCAATTTTAGTGGCAAACATTTATTACAACATAACTTCACACAATACTCATCTATTTAATTATAGTGACAAAGTCATTGTAACAAATATTACTCGTCACAATTATCATGACATTAGAGACAAAACTTGAAGTCAATACAATTATTGTCACAATTTAATAATTTTTGTTACAGAATTATACAACGTCACAAAGAATTTTTCGTACTTTTGGTCTGACGAGTATTGTGGCACTAACAATATTGATCCACAATTTTCAAAACTTGCATAATTGGTCCACGAGTATTAATTTCTTAGCGCAAATAGTCTTTATGGTGAAATCTCAGTCAATTTTTCACCATAAAAATTATTTCCTCTTTATAGTAGTGGTATAATGGCCTTTTCCTTTTACCACCATGATGTACAAAAACTTATGGAGTGACTAATTTGAAAACATTTATGTATTATTTCCTTTTTTATAAATGCTACTAACTCTATTACAATGAGTATCTGTTCATATACTCTCTCAACCTATTGAAACACAAAGAACTAAGAATGCATCAACTGAGACTCGAACTCACAACTTTTCAAATGAAAACCCAACCCGGATACCATTAGATCACATAATCTTGGTATTTATGTATTATTTCCTAATAAACTAAAAATTTTGAAGAATTTTTTTTTTGGCCATTTCGTAATTAACCAATCATATATGATTCCGGATAAGTATATATTTCAATTCAGACTTTCACCTCCATGTCCGGAAAAAAAACCTGAAGATATGATGAGGTGTAACTCCAAAAATGGAGTTCATTTAAAAAAATAATAAAAAATTTACAGTACAATGATACATGGCACCATAGAAAATTCATAATTTTTCATATCAAAATTCATTCAAAGTATATGTACCTAATATATTATAAACCTAAATTGTATAATAATATAAGTAGAAGATTTTTGCCTGGCACTTAGCTCATTGGTTCAGTAGACAATATTTGAGAGAAAAGACTAATGTTTGAATTTAAAATTATACTTAAAGTGGACAGATTCCTTGTGCGCTTTGTTGGATTGGGGATTCAACCTTTTGGGAGAAGATTTTTGCTTTGGAATATGCCCAGGCACCAACTTGACTGTGTTATGAAGTTGAAGAAAACTTTTGATTATTATTTCCTCATTGCTTTGCTTAAATAACACAACTTGTCCATGAAACATCATATTTTGTAGAACCCTTTTGTCCCTAAGCAATAATAGTATTATTCTTTTGTTTTTATGTCATTTTGAGGCCAATAGATCTAAGATTAGGGCCTGTTTGGTAAAATGGCTGTTAGCTGATAGCTGTTAGCTGATTGTATTAATTAGAGGGTATAAATAGTTGATAACATTAGCTGATTGTAAAAAAGTGTTTGGTAAATTAGCTGTTAGCTAATAGCTGTTTAGTATAATTTCTTTTCTCAAAAAGCTAATTGAAAAAGTTGCTTGGAGTAGCTTTTTGAATTTTAGCCTTTTAGAGATACAAAAAGCTAATTAACCAAACATTTATATTGATATTTTAACTAAATTAAACAATTAATAGTTGTCAAATAAGCCAAAATTGACCTATAGGCTAATTTTTTACCAAATAGGGCCCTCTTCCATTTTTCTCGCCTTTTCCCATTGTTCTGATCTTCCCCATTTGAGTTGCATTCATCTTTGCTGACACCATACTTGTTTTCCATTGATGTAATACTCCCATCCTACCATTTTATGTGTCTGATTCGATTAATAAGATTTGAATAAAGTTATTTTGAATTCAAATTTTCATAATATTACATTAATACTAATACAAAATTTATATATTTAGAAACTAAATTAAAAGTATTATAAAACACAACAAATCAAATTTAAAAATAATTAAAAAGCAATTAAAGAAATTAAACAAAGAAGAAAGAATTGATTTGACCAATAAATAATAAACAAGACTGGTAAAATGTGAGAGATGGAGTAATTTTTAATACTCTTTCAGTATCTCATTGGTCGTAAATATTGTGTTCTTTATCAGAGTTTTTCATGTGGAGGGGAGAGAATAGATGAGAAAGTGTGTAGCTTCTACAGATGAAAGGTTAATTGTTGCAATTGCAAAAGCTTCTCACTAAATGACATAATAATGTTCCAAACATGTGACACAAAGCAAATGCCAATATAATGATTCAAACTATATAGTACTAGGAAATAAAATGTTGATCTGCAGCAATTGTTCTGTCAATGAATCTCACCACACATCTTCTTCTTATCAAGCAGCCCAACACTCAAAATACTGAACCCCACACAAAGAATCAAGGCTTCCAAAACATATATGCAGCTAGAACACCAACCCCTTCACCTGTGGACCTCCTTTACAAAAGACACCACGCCGCCACTACCGGTTGGCGATAGCAAGTGCTTCTCTTGATCGCCGTCATCACTTTCAGTTCGTTCCAGAGACCCGCTCCCATCTTCGTCTGGTGAATAACAAATTGAGTTTATTAAGGCCTTGTTTGGTAACATAGTTAGCTTATCAGTCAATTTTGGCTTATTTGACCACTATTAGCTGTTTGACTTTGTTAAACAACCAATATAAGTATTTGCTTAATTAACTTTTTGTAACAGCTTATTGTTCTAAAACGCTAAAATTCAAAAAGCTGCTCAAAGTAGCTTTTTCGATCAGCTTTTTGAGAAAGCCATATTGCATGTAATCAGTTATTAGCTAACAGCTAATTTACCAAACATCTTTCTACAATCAGCTAATGCTATCAACTAGTCAAACCCACTATCCCAATAAGCTAACAGCTATTTACCAAACATCCCTTAAATCTTGTTAATCTCCGCATTGGAAGCAAAATTTTGTTATTCTGACCACCAGACCAGTCAGGGTACGTTTGTTTTTCTTTGTGGATCAAACCGGGGAGAAGGGGAGAGTGGGCAGAAATTTTCATATCGAATAAGGAGATGAAAGATAACCTGTATAGAGATGATACTCGGGAAGCTGTTTAACTGTTGTTACTTGAAGGCTTTCGGGAAGAAGACAATTGCAGAAAGATCCTGAGATTGAACAAGAACAACGTCGGTTGCTACGATGCAGACATAACAATTAAAACATTAAAAAAAGGAAAATGAGAAATCAACAGAGAATATACCAAGCCTGGCTAGGCGATTCACCCATTTAGGAATCCCCTTCCCCGTCAGTCTGTTAGCCATATCATCTGTAAAATGATTGCAATTCTTGGAGATAAGGTGATAAGTGTCCCCGTGATACTCAGAAGCCACATTTTCTACGAAAGTATGGAACTCAGAAACGGGCATATTAATACAACCTAGCGGGATTGAACATCTATATATAAAACTGGGGCAGCACTTAGGCTCTACTTCAAACACTCCGCTGAAGGGGAAGTCGTGCGCTCCAAAACCATACTCCCTTCCATGAACTGCAAATTTTGCGATATGACACACATAAAGAGAATGTTGAACAAGTAAACACAGCAATTAACATACAAAATAAATCTACTGGAAAAAAAAATATTTGGCTATATAGATGTGTATATGCGTCTTCTAGGCCTATGTATCACGAAAATGAATGTGTGAATTGAAGCATGTGCTCCATCTCAACTAAAAACCTAAGCTGATAGTTGGATTGCACATTCCGTAGTCGCTTATAGGGCAACGCAGAGATTCAAACCCATGACCTTTGGTTTGGTCAAAGTCTGATACCAAATTGAAGTATGCGCTCCATCTCAACTAAAAAGCCTAAGCTGATAGTTGGATTGCACATTAATGGTTATATGCTCAATAGTGTGAAGCCCAGTTCTAAGAACTAATGTGGCAAGCCAAGTGAATAATACGAACTCCGTACTAGTTAATTTGTATATCCCAACTACATAAAAGGAACCATATTGATTTGAGCCCTCAACGGTAGATTATTTCCATTTTCCTTGTATCTCCTCCCGAAACAGACTGACAACATATTAACTGTTCCAAAATTGAAAATTATCCTAACAATGTAAAGAAAAGCCAAAAATAATGGGAGAAGAGTGCCCTGCTCCTAAATCCTCTGGGAGCTGCTACAGAAAATTCATGGAATTGAATGACTGAATCACTGAAAAACTAGGCAAAAAATGATATCTAATTGGTGACTATAGATTGAACAGATAAGCATATAACTATGGAAATTGCAACTCGTCTGTGGAATTTGCTTGGAAAACTCGCTATTTTGTTCAGTATAGCCGCAGCGACTGAGAAGAGGCCACAAATGGTAGGAATAGTGGCTCAATCAATAACCAGTGGCTAGGGTTTCCATAACGGTTTTGGCTTCAGACAATGAAATGCTGGCTTTCGACACATGAGATATGGCAGCGTGCCAAGGTTGGCCATGAAAAAAGACGAATATATTAGGGTTGAAATAAGAGGTTTGTATTTGATAGGGTATTTTGGAGTTCAAAAATAAAAGTGAAAAACATCAGTAAATAGAGAGCATAGAGAGCGTCTCAACTATTGCAGAATTTGATCGTGACTTTCTTCCAAACCGTACCTTGGAACCATCTAATCTGATCACCTTAGCATGCGGTATTAAGTAGTATTAAGATCTCTAAAGCTGGGATTATTAAAACCATCAATCAGTTCTGGTATCTAGACAATCTAGAAGATCAGTAAAGCAATACGACTACACAAGTATCCTAAGCCCTAAAGTGCAGCTTACGCTTACTTTATCAATAACTATTTTGAGTACTTTTCTGCTAATATGACTAATTTATAATTTTATATTCAGTAAAAAAGAAAAGAACAGTGAAAGAAATATAAAAAAGAACAATGGAGCTCAGAAGATACAGGTCCACAAGGATTGATTAAAATAGCCAATCCTTCAAGAGCTTGAAAGATAAGTTTACGCCAAAAGGGGGTGAAACAAAGGATTATAGCCTAGTGACATACATATGCAACGGTGTAAAAACTCAAGGAGATAGCATATGCAAAACAAAAGAAAACCTAAGCACTTGTGAAGAATTAGGATCACTTTGTGAAGGTATTTGTTAAGTCAAACTACATATTAATTATTGCTTCACTTCATTTTTTATACTCCGTATTTACACATCAATAATTGCTCTTGACCATTCTTACTATTCCTGCGGCAATAATGTCTAGATCTATGTACCAAAGTCGCAAGGGTAAGTCATGTGGCAACTTGAAGATTTTGATCTAACAAGTCCCAATGCATTTAATGCACCATAATGAACTAGTACAAGCTAAAAGGAATGTCATTGAAATCTACACTGCTCCAATCTTTCATCTTCCCCTTTCCATAAATTCACTTCTTTGTGGTCTAAGAGCTAGAACCTTGCAGTATATTGAACTTCTCTTAGAATACAAACCAAAAGTGAACATGAGCATTGAAATAACCTCTATCCCTACACACAAATAAGTAGCACCAAGGGAGTCACCCCAGCCAAGTTGGCTGTAAGGATACAAACTTGTAACCACAAGGTCACGAGTTCAAATCTCAGCTTTCACCTAGACTAGTTTAGGTCCTTGTGGTCCTTTGCCGGCTAAGGTCACAAGGCGGGGGCGGCAAATGACCATAAGGAGGGGATTACGAACTATACATATTCGGGTAGTGACTTCGGGTTTCCTCGTCACCCCAAAAAAAATAGTAGCACCAAAATACCTTGTCATGAGACCTAACTAAAACTAATCAATGAGCTAAAGGCAAGAAGGAATAAATCAACTTTCCATTCAACAAACTAAAACTCAAAAATCCATGGAAATAACCTAGACCCAGATCTCAAATCCATCTACCATACTCCTCAAACAACAAGATCACTTCCCAGTTGCCAAGTATCCAACAAATAAAGAAAATGAATTCCAGACCAAAAGGACCAAGAATTAGAAAATAAAAAAATGAACACATGAAATAGTTGAGTTGATTGTTGATGTGCTGACCTTCAATGCCAGAATGAAAGATGCCAAAGCCAAACCAAACGGTGTAGTTGTTGAGAGGGACGAGGTCATAAACATTCAATACGACTTGTGTCTCAGAGCTTCTATCATTGGGTGAAGAATCATTTGAACTAGAATTGGAGGTGTTCTCTCCACCCATTTGATTGTTTTATTCAACAAGTAATAATACAAAAGAAAAGCTTCCCTCTTTTTCTCTCAGGCTAGCAATGATAAAAAGACACTCTTTTTTTGCTCCATTTCTCTTTCTCTGTACCGTGCTGGAAGCCGGGCTCCAGAGAGAACTTTAGAGAGACAGGAATCGTGAAAGGGAAGATGAAAAGGGCAAAATGGGGACACTCTAGAGCTGTGGTTTTAAACTCTTTTTTTTTTTTTTTTTAGAAAGAACATTGCTGCTTTTATTTGACCAACCAAACAATCATTTCCCTTGATTTTATTAGTTTATTGATGGAAGTTTCAATTATTATAATCAAAATTTTTAAAATTAACCATTTATAACCAAAATTTAAAATTCAAAAGAATCAATGTCCCCGTCACCAAGATTTGATCGTGTGACCACTTATTTAAAATGGTAACAAATGTGTCATCACACTACATAATAGTTGTCACTGTTTAATAACTTAATTAAAAAATCAATCTATCTTTAATTCTTGTGTCGCAGCGATAAAACACTACAACTTGTATAAAATATCATTATAGAGTATTCAATTTATTTCCTTATTAAACACAAATTTTTTTTTTGAAACTTTATTAAACACACTTTTTTTGAAACTTTATTAAACACAGGGGCGGACCCAGCATGGAAGCAGCTGCCCCCCTCACCCCATATATAACACTTGTATGTATATATGTATATATAGTACAAGTTTTAGTATAAGTATAATAAAATAGATAAAAGTTAACAAAAGATGATTAGATTAGATGGCTACGTGTGTGTATTATTTTTCTAGGAGTGGTGAGGGTTCGAATCCTGCGTGTATGTAGATTTACTCCTTGTGACTTAGGTAGGAAAGTGTGGATGTTATATTTTCACACATTTCATCAAATTAATTATGTTTCATATTTTGTTATGAATTTTTTTTATAAAGTTTTGATGTGTTTTATTTTTTGTCCACATTCAACAATATTTATGACTATACTTTTAAGTGTTTTATTTTTTATCAAACTATCTCTTTTGTTTTAATGCGTTTCGCCCCACTGAAAAAAATTTCTGGGTCCGCCACTGATTAAACACAATTTTAATAATAAAAAATTTAGGATGTTGTCAAGAATTGGATTTTTGAAACTTAATTTTTAAAAAAAAAAAACTTTAAACTTAGTTAAAAATTAGATGAATAATAAAATTATTTCTAACTTTGATACTAAATTAATGAAACTAGATTTCTAAATTTATAGCCAAGTTTGAATACTAGCTTAGAATAAATAGATGACAATGCAAGAAACAAGATAACAATAATTGATAGTGTAGTATATATACGTTTATTGATGTGGATAATACAATCGTCCTTACAGTTGCGTATTGGTTCGTCGATTTATTAATTTAAGGAATTGAGCTTGGGATTAGGTGAAAGTGGGTATAAAGGTCCCGAGCATATTGCGTAGAATGAGCCAAAAATCCTCTCATCTCGCATTTACAGGGCGTTTGGTTGGAGGGATTTTAAATTCCCTTCCCACTTAATTCCCACCTAATTCCAAAGGCCATTAAATTCCGTAGTTTGGTTGGAGGGAATTGCAATTCCATGGAATTGCAATTCCCCCATTTTCATGGAATTAAAATCTCATGTCCCCCCTAGGATTTTAATTCCTGGGAAAAAAAGATAGTGACTAGTCAAAATTATCCATTCCTTTTTTAACCTAAAATTAATGTCTAACAATAATAATGGACATTTTTGACTTTATACTATTTATTCCCTTTCAATTCCCATGAATACCAAACATTGGAATTGAAATTTCCAGTAATTCTATTCCTGTCAACCAAACACTGGAATTTAAATTGCCACTTTATTCTCAGTAATTCAACTCCCATGGAATTACAATTCATTTCCCACATAATTCCTCCCTCCAACCAAACGCCCTGTTAATGCGTTATTTATAAGAGAGCATGGGGAACACATGTCGAAAGCTCGACATGTGCGACACGTGCTATTCATGCTAGGGGCAGGTGGAGGCTCCGTTAATTCCTCCACGTGTACTAAAGGTCCTTACGTCCTCGTTCCTGTCGCAATTGGGTTTGACTAAGGGGAATGAGATTCCATTTTCTAAGTAGATAAGGTCGGGTGGTTCGTCCCGACCTAAGACGGTCGGAGTGACCCCGAAGGTAAGAAACTACTGCCACTAACCAAGCCCTTGATCGGTCCTTTATACCAAGTCGGGTCAGTTAACTCCAAGATCGGTAAGTGATGGAGAATAATTCGGTTAACCGAAGTCGGGTCTCGACGGCCCGCCCGGATACCAAACAAGTAAGGAATACGTACAAATATCAGGGGGAATAATAATAATAATAATAATAATAATAATAATAATAATAATAATAATAATAATAATAATAATAATAATAATAATAATAATAATAATATTATTATTATTATTATTATTATTATTATTATTATTATTATTATTATTATTATTATTATTATTATTATTATTATTATTATTAGAAAAATATATTGTGTAGACGTGATCAAATAAGACTACTATTATTATTATTATTATTATTATTATTATTATTATTATTATTATTATTATTATTATTATTATTATTATTATTATTATTATTATATTTTTTTTTAAAAAAAATAAGACTACTATTTATAGAAGAAACAATGCTTACAACTACAGCCGTCAAAATGGGCTTAGTCCGCCGGGCTTTTCCGTCCCGCCCGTCAAAAGGGCGGAGTGGGCTCATGTTTTTGAAGCCCATTTTAAAAATGGATTTTTTTGCCCGCCAGCCCGCTTTTTTTTTTTCTTTTAGTTATATATATATATATATATATATATATATATATATATATATATATATATATATATATATATATATATATATATATATATATATATATATATATATATATAATTAAAATTAATATATATAATATAAATAATAGTGTCGGTTATTCGGTGATCGCGGTTATTACACCTTCATAACCAATAAATAACCGAATAGCCGAATAATCGAATTTTTTTTTGCCTTATAACTGATAACTGAAATTATCGGTCGGTTCGGTTATCGGTTATCGGTTTTTCGGTAATTATACTTACCCCTGTTGGTGTCATTGTTGTCATGATGTGATGAACGAATTTATGTTATTTTCTTATGAATAAGTATTTTAAGTAGATAGCCATTAAGTTATTAACATAGTCACATTAGAGTTTAGATTAAGGACACATCACACATGATTAAAAAAAAAAAAATAGACGGGCTTTAGCGGGGGCCCGCGGGCCTAAGGGGGGGGCGAGAGGCGGGGCGGGCTGCCCCTATCTAGGCCCGTATTCTTGGCAGGCTTTTTAGCCCTTCCCGCCAGCCTGCATTGACAGCTCTACTTACAACCTCTCCCAATGATATCATGACTAGGTCTTTACAATATAAGCAATGATATCTCAATCCCCGTCCCCGACGGAGAATTGAAAACATTCTCCATCTCCGACCCTGTTCCTCAAAATTTTCCCCCATTCCCGTCCCTGTTGGAGCGGGGATCGGGGATCCCCACCAAGAATGGGGAAATTGGGCAAATTATACCGTGCACCAGAGCGCACAATGCATTGTGCGCTCTGGCCCAAAACGACGTCGTTTTGTACCTTTACGCATGTCTGTTATTAACTCCTTAAAAAAAATCATGTTTCGAATGTACAGAATTGTATAATAGAATATACTGAATTTTATACCTGAAAACACAAAATTTTATAACCGAATACACATAATCTTTTTTGAAAGGATAATACACATAATCTAACATAATACATAATATACATAAATTCTTAACATAATACACATAAACTCTTAACATAATACACCTAAAATCTTAACTCTTTAAAAAAAAAATCCATGTTTAATTTCGAATGTACAGAATTATATAATAGAATGTACAGAATTTTATACCTGAAAACACTGAATTTTATACCTGAAAATACAGAATTTTATAACTGAAAATTCCCATGTTTCGAATGTACAGAATTATATAATAAAATGCATAGAATTTTATACCTGAAATTAACAAAACAACGTCATTTTGGGATGTGCGAGGCGCACATTGCTATGTGCGCCCTGGTGCACGGTATAACAATTGGGGGAAATTGACATCCCTAGACTTAAGCCTATTTAGCTAAATAGGCTATAAAATAAGCGTAAGCCTGACTTTTTTACTAAATAGGTTAGGCTAGGCTAGGCCCAAACTAGGTCACGCACGCCATAAGCCCATGCGAAGTGGTCTGGCCTATTTTCATCCCTATTTATTGCATTTATTTTACCCGACAAACAAACAATTCCATTGTCTTATTAGTTTATTCTCTTTTTTTTTTTTTTTTTTAAAAGGTAAATACTTGTTGTGATTATCATAATCAATTTTTAAAAATTAATAATTTTGGACTAAAGTTCATATATCGATATAATCTTAATTAATTTTAACTCAATTTGTTTTAAAATTGAGTTGCTATTGATTAATAATCAATTTTGTTTGATTTGACATTAGAAAACAATGGAATACATATGAATTTACCCACGAATTAAATAATTACAACTTAAATAATTATTTATTGAAATTTGCTGGTAAATTAAATACCTATGAAATTTGTTATAATTTAATTTAAATTTTCTTGTGTTGTAAATTGATTTATAATTTGAGTTAATTCCAGCAATGGTCCTCCGACTATATTGATTTTTCAAAATTAGTCCCCGACTTTTAATTTGGACAGTTTAAGTCCCTTGACTTTCAATTTCTTTCAAATTGAGGTCCTTTTGTCATAATATGGTTAATTGGGCTTTAAATGAAGGGGTAAAAGTCATCCTTTTACATGCCTATGTATTATTCTTCGTATTTCTCCCTTCGTATTTCGCTGCTATACCTTGTAAACATCTCAATAATGGAGGAACGCACACACGAGCAGTCAGCAAATTGGGAATGACGAGGAACATTCTAGGGCTTCGACTAAGATTATCTTCATATATATCGCATATACAAGGGAGAAATACGAAGAATAATACACTTGATGGAGCATATGATGTACACTTGATGGAACATATGACACTAAGCATACATTGTGGACACGGTAACGGTGCCGTTAGTGGCACCGTTATCTTCCACCATTTTTTTTTTAAAAAAAATTTCAG